AAGCAGAGACAACAGCAGACAGAAACAGAGACAAGAACAGACAGAAGCAGAGACAAGAGCAGACAGAAGCAGAGGCAAGAACGGACAGAAGCAGAGACAAGAACAGACTGAAGCAGAGACAAAAACAGACAGAAGCAGAAGCAAGAAAAGACAGAAACAGAGACAAGAACAAGCAGAAGCAGAGACAAAAACAGACGACAAAAGCAGAGACAAACACAGACAGAAAAAGAGACAAACATAGAAGCACAGACAAACACAAACAAAAATTACTTTCTGTTAGGAGATATTTGATGATGCTGGTTCCATCTAAATGCGAAGAAAATAAAGTTGCTATTTCGTTTAAAAAATTTCTTCTATTTCAAAATACTATTATGTTTCAAAAAGTTTATTCCATATCAAAAACGTTCTTACTTATAAGTTCGAAAACATCAGTCAAGGTCAGTTACTTCATATACAAGGCTTGTTACCTCGTCTTCAAGGCTAGTTATGTCTCAGTCAAGGCTAGTTACGTCTCAGTCAAGGCTAGTTATGTCTCAGTCAAGGCTAGTTATGTCTCGGTCAAGGCTAATTATGTCTCAGTCAAGGCTAATTATGTCTCAGCCAAGGCTAGTTATGTCTCAGTCAAGGCTAGTTATGTCTCAGTCAAGGCTAGTTATGTCTCAGTCAAGGCTAGTTATGTCTCGGTCAAGGCTAGTTATGTCTCAGTCAAGACTAGTTATGTCTCAATCAAGACTAGTTATGTCTCAGTCAAGACTAGTTATGTCTCAGTCAAGGCTAGTTATGTCTCGGTCAAGGCTAGTTATGTCTCAGTCAAGGCTAGTCATGTCTCGGTCAAGGCTAGTTATGTCTCAGTCAAGGCTAGTTATGTATCAATCAAGGCTAGTTATGTCTCAGTCAAGGCTAGCTATGTCTCAGTCAAGGCTAATTATGTCTCAGTCAAGACTAGTCATGTCTCAGTCAAGGCTAGTTACGTCTCAGTCAAGGCTAGTTATGTCTCGGTCAAGGCTAGTTATGTCTCAGTCAAGGCTAGTTACGTCTCAGTCAAGGCTAGTTACGTCTCAGTCAAGGCTAGTTATGTCTCATTCAAGGCTAGTTATGTCTCAGCCAAGGCTAGTTATGTCTCAGTCAAGGCTAGTTATGTCTCAGTCAAGGCTAGTTATGTCTCAGTCAAGGCTAGTTATGTCTCGGTCAAGGCTAGTTATGTCTCAGTCAAGGCTAGTTATGTATCAATCAAGGTTAGTTATGTCTCAGTCAAGGCTAGCTATGTCTCAGTCAAGGCTAGCTATGTCTCAGTCAAGGCTAATTATGTCTCAGTCAAGGCTAGTTATGTCTCGGTCAAGGCTAGTTATGTCTAGGTCAAGGCTAATTATGTCTCAGTCAAGGCTAGTTATGTCTCGGTCAAGGCTAGTTATGTCTCAGTCAAGGCTAGTTATGTATCAGTTAAGGCTAGTTATGTCTCAGTCAAGGCTAGCTATGTCTCAGTCAAGGCTAGCTATGTCTCAGTCAAGGCTAGTTACGTCTCAGTCAAGGCTAGTCATGTCTCATTCAAGGCTAGTTATGTCTCAGCCAAGGCTAGTTATGTCTCAGTCAAGGCTAGTTATGTCTCAGTCAAGGCTAGTTATGTCTCAGTCAAGGCTAGCTATGTTTCGGTCAAGTCTAGTTATGTCCCAGTCAAGGCTAGTTATGTCTCAATCAAGGCTAGTTATGTCTCAGTCAAGGCTAGTTATGTCTCAGTCAAGGCTAGTTATGTCTCAGTCAAGGCTAGTTATGTCTCAGTCAAGGCTAGTTATGTCTCAGTCAAGGCTAGTTATGTCTCAGTCAAGGCTAGTTATGTCTCAGTCAAGGCTAGTTATGTCTCAGTCAAGGCTAGTTATGTCTCAATCAAGGCTAGTTATTTCTCAGTCAAGGCTAGTTATGTCTCAGTCAAGGCTAGTTATGTCTCAGTCAAGGCTAGTTATGTCTCAGTCAAGGCTAGTTATGTCTCGGTCAAGGCTAGTTATGTCTCAGTCAAGGCTAGTTATGTCTCAGTCAAGGCTAGTTATGTCTCATTCAAGGCTAGTTATGTCTCAGTGAAGGCTAGTTATGTCTCGGTCAAGGCTAGTTATGTCTCAGTCAAGGCTAGTTATGTCTCAGTCAAGGCTAGTTATGTCTCAGTCAAGGCTAGTTATGTCTCAGTCAAGGCTAGTTATGTCTCAGTCAAGGCTAGTTATGTTTCAGTCAAGGCTAGTTATGTCTCGGTCAAGGCTAGTTATGTCTCAGTCAAGGCTAGTTATGTTTCAGTCAAGGCTAGTTATGTCTCAGTCAAGGCTAGTTATGTCTCAGTCAAGGCTAGTTATGTCACAGTCAAAGCTAGTTATAAAAAGTTCAAAAATAACAAAATGTTCTTACTTATAAAAAGTTAAAAATATCAATAAGTTCTTACTTATAAAAAGTCTAAAATATTAAAAAAGTTCTTGATACCAAAAAGTTCTATCAAATCAGAAAGTTCTAATAAATTAAACGGTTCTTACATATAAAAAGTTTTATATCAAAAAGTTTTTCATATCGAGAAAGCTCTTATATTTGATAAATATGCAAAAAACTTAAATAAAAGAAAGTTTTTCTGTATCAAAGAGTTTCGTACATTTCCAAAAAGGTCAGTAAGTCACTTTTCTTGGTCGTCAACAACGCTTTTTCAGGAAGGAGAGAGAGAGAGAGAGAGAGAGAGAGAGAGAGAGAGAGAGAGAGAGAGAGAGAGAGATGGAGAGATGAAGAGAGAGAGAGAGAGAGAGAGAGAGAGAGAGGAGAGAGAGAGAGAGAAAGAGAGAAGCAGAGAGAGAGAGAAAAAAAGGGGAGAGAGAGAGAGTAGTAACAACAACAGCAACAATAGTAATATAGTAGTGGTATCAACAGTAGTAGCAGTAGTAGTTAAAATATTTTTAATAATGATAATAACAATAATAATAACAATAATAATAATAATAATAATAATAATAATAATAATAATAATAATAATAATAATAATAATAACAATAATGACTTTCGACATGGTAATAACACGATTGCAGACAAATCAGGGAACGGTTGGGACTTGAACCCATGGCAGGTGACTAACCTCCCTATGGTGTATAGAAATATATCTAGTTGGATGAATCTTATTAGAGCCAGAGGGTCCAGTGGTTAACGCACTGGCCTGTGAATCTTAGGGTCCGAACAACACCGTTCTGTGATTAATAGGAATAGTAGTAGTAGTTGTTGTTGTAAAAGTAATAGTAGTTGTTGTAGTAGTAGTAGTAGTTGTTGTTATTGTAGAAGTAGTAGTTATAGTAGTAGTAGTAGATGTTGTAGTAGCAGTAGTATTTGTAGTAGTAGCAGTTGTAGTAACAGTAGTAGTAATAGTAGTAAAAGTAGTAGTAGTTGTTGTAGTAATAGTAGCAGCAGCAGCAGTAGTAGTAGTAGTAGTAGTAGTAGTAGTAGTGTAGTAGTGGTAGTAGCAGTAGTAATAGTAGTAGTAGTAGTAGTATAGTAGTAGTAGTAGTGGTAGTAGCAGTAGAAGTAGTAGTAGTTTTTGTAGTAATAGTGCCATCAGCAGTAGTAGTAGTAGTAGTAGTGGTGGTGGTGGTGGTAGTAGCAGTAGTAGCATTAGTAGTAGCAGTAGTAGCAGTAGTAGTAGTAGTAGCAGTGTTAAGCCTACTTCCCCCATTTTAATCATACACGCATGCAAGCGTTTCAGTACTTCGTGGTAATTTCATTAACCGTATTGTCATCCAACAGAGTGGTCATAGATAATGGAGGGTGGGGAGAGAAGCTTTTGTTATACTATCTTCACCTTGGTCGTGATAAAAGCGCTGATCCTCCACCCATACACCCATTCATCCACCATTACCACCTTCCTGTACCAGTAATCTACCACCTTCACCCACGCACTCCGTAATATCCAGTTTCTTTCTATGACCTAGTTACTGACACCATAGCAAAGCGGAACTAAACACAATGGCGTCGTAACCAGTTGATAGCTTCTGCGAACTTATACATATAATTGGAAAAAAATTAGAGACCAGCTGCTATTCTGGTCCTATGACGCTCTATATATGCCGTTTGCGTGTCTCGTAACGACCTAAAAGTCAATGTTTATTGAGCTCTTCATAACATAAAAAGTAAACAATGCATGCAAGCCTTGTACAACTTTTCGTGAGGTCTAAGAAGCAAGTTTGGATTTAGATTTTGCCGCCGATGCAGCTAGTTTATTTTGTCCCACATAGGCATCCTGTGCACGGTAGCGCAAGAGGATACGGATACACAAAAGCCTGGGAACAAGGCCCTAAAACAGGGTTAATTCCATCTAGATATACATGTATATTTATAATTTATGCTTCACCTGCTGCACGTTAATTAAGGATATTTGCTGTAATGTCTGGTATCTTACTTTTCTTAAGTAGATATCTTGACATATCACATAAGTTATTATACTCTATACTCTATATCTCTATATTCCTCAATACATGGACGATCAAGAACTTAGTGTTAGAGATAATGAGCATCAGGCTGACCACATAATGTAAGTGCAGTGTGATCATTATCTATGTATATGCCAAGCTGTCAGAGGTACTTTTAACCTAGCCTTAGCCTGGCCACTACATCAGTCTGTTCTGGGAAAAAATACAGAAATAATCCACAATTAGGTTAGGAAACGTTTGACGACGTTCGGGTCAATCCTGGACCATTATGAAATCAGAGTTGTGACTTGATAATGGCCCAGCTTGCACCATAAGGTCGACTAATGTTTCCTCTCTTAAGTGTGGGTTATTTGTGAATTATTGTTCCAGCCATGATATTTTGACTCTTATTTTGGATATTTTTAATGGAGTGAAAAGTAGTGCATAAATGAATGTTTGCTCTTTCATTATTATGCATTTATTGTTTTGTTTATAATTCAAACATTCACATAATAAACATACATATGGGAGAATAAAAGTGAAAGCAAAAGTTGCTTGTTGGTAATAAATTGCAAATTCTTACTTTGCAGGAGCACGAGAATGGCTTCAAGACCAGACTCGGGCAGCAGAAACCAACAACTGAGTGACGTTTTTGCGATATATAGAATTCAGATTCGTGGAAGTCGAGCGTAAAGAAAGACAACTTTTAACAGCACAGAGACACAAGGTTGCGTTCGTGAGTGTTGAAGGACACGTCAAGTGAATGTACTTTACAAGTAGAGCCTAAACCAGCCTGGGTCATTCAGCTTACAAGGTGGTGGAGGCAGAAGAAAAATGGAAGAGAGGTTGACAGAGCGTTATAAGTGAACTACGGATCCAGGTGGGGACTGCAAGTGGGTGAGGAAGTCATGGGTCGCCCTGGACGCTGTCGTCAAAGTTACACTTCAGGTTTCCTCTGTCGTCTGGGAGTGAATACAACTTTATGGATGAACCAGCTTACCGTACTGCACCAAGACTCCACAGCTGCTGTTCATGTAAGTGTTGAGACTTCCATCATTTATCGTCTGATATTGCTTTTAAAATAAAACTACTGAGATACAGAGTAATACAGGAATACGAGACGAGAGAGAAATTCGTAGAGAATGGGAGGGAAAGATTTTATTGTATTGTAAAACGGAAGATAATGTGGACTTAGTTCCAGGTTACTGCCAACACACACATGCTTTAATCAATCTAAATTATAAATTTCACATTTATCTGCCTTAACCTCAGTTTGTAATAAAATTTGGGACTAAAGTTTAACACAATTAGGTTTAAGATATCTTCTGAATTTGGAAAAAAAAATAGTTAAAAAGCTGATTAGAGGAATATACATTCAAGAAAAGACACAAGAGCAAAATTGTATTGTGACAAATCCATCTTTGGAGCTTTATCCTGTTTCGTTTCATCTATACTGTCTTCAGTACATCTTTATATCCACGTCAACAGATATCTGTCCAGGCTGATTGAAATACGGGCTCGGTGTGTTAAAATTTAGAGTTAAATACTGTTTATATAAAAAAAAAGATGTATCTTCAGAGAGCAGAGAAGTGAATGCAGTCTGCTGGTACAAAACCGAGAATGCATTAAATTATTTTCTTCATATTATTGTCTGAAGCTGTTGCTCCGCAAACATTAATAATCTGGATATATAAACTTAAACTACAATATGTAGATAAGAGGGAAATATTAAATTAACTTTGCTCAGGTTGATATATACACTTGCTCATCCACCCACTTACACACACTCACACACACACCACACACACACACACACACACCACACACACACACACACACACACAACACACACAACACACACTCACACACACACACACACACACACACACACACACACACACACACACCACACACACACACACACACACAACACACACACACACTTCTACCTTTCCCTTCTCTCTTCTCTCACAAAAAAAAATGGTGGGGACTCGCAGGAACCAAGGACCAGATGAGAATGGTTCGGGTAGGGAGGAGTGGATGGAGGAGCAGTGGAAAAGGATGGAACCAAGGTGGGAGAGAAAATTAGGGAGAGCTTTCTGAAAAAATGGAGAAAGAGCTCTCTGTGAAATTGGAAAAGAGGTTGGAGAAGGAGACAAAGAATTGGGAGGCACAAGTCGAAACTGCAGTAGCCAAGATAAGGGTCCTAGAAGTTGAGATAAATAGGCTGAAGCGAGTTACAGGGGCAGTGACCAGAGAAGACACAGCATATGAGCTGCGAGGCCGAACAGAAGGAAGGAATTATGAATTATGCTAAGGTCATATCAGCCTGCCAAGGAGGACAAGGAGTGAAAGGGAAGAACAGCTGGTTGCAGATGGAGAGGGTGATAGGTCGATGCTGAGGCACAACCATGCTATCAAGAGCCACTGGAAAAATCAAGGGAGAAACTGACCACATACAGGCAGGATCCAGGAGTCACAGAGGGTGAGGCAATGGGAGGAGGAAAGGGCAAAATCGTGTTTATTCAAGGGCTTCAGGAGAGAGAGGAAAGGACATACACTGAAAAGCAGCAGGAAGAAAGAAAGGAGATTGAGAAAATCATCACGGAAATAGGTGAAGAGATGGGCGAGATTGTAAATTTTCAGAGAATAGGGGGATACTCGAAGGGAGAGAAGAAACCGACCAATCAAGCTGATTCTCAGGACGGAAACAGTGCGGAACAGGATCCTCCAAGAGAAACCACGATTGAAATACTCGGAAGAGTACAAGAGGGTGTTCCTAGACAGAGACAGAACAAAATCAGAACGACAGCAGCTGAGGGAGAGGACAAAAAAGCGAAAGTGACTAGGAAAAGAGACAAGGATGGAACCAGCAGAGGTCAGTCAGAGCAGAACAGAACAGCAAGGGCAAGCACACACACAACTATTCTCAGAACCATACAACCTATCAGACCATCCCAACACACACTACAATCCATACCCACAGCCTCCACCCAATACCGAGCTATTGAATCCCACAGTATGCCACCAGGTCTCCCACCCTCACAGGCCCCCAAACCACAGTGTTGAAAGGAAACTGAAGGTATGGTACACAAACGCTGATGGAATAACAAATAAGTGGGAGGAGTGGCATGAAAAAGTCAAAGAAGCACCGGACATCATAGCTCTCACAGAAACCAAGCTTACAGGTATGATAACAGATGCCATCTTTCCAACGGGATACCAAATCCTGAGGAAAGACAGAGGGAACAGGGGGGTGGAGGAGTGGCATTGCTGATCAAAATCGCTGGAATTTTGATGAGCTGGAGAGAGGAGACAGCGGAGAAGAAAGTGATTACATAGCGGGAACGCTTCACTCTGGAGGTCCCAAGGTGGTAATAGCAGTGATGTATAACCCACCACAGAACAGCAGGAGGCCAAGGCAAGAGTACGACGAGAGCAATAGAGCGATGGTTGACACATGGCTAGAGTGGCCAGAAGAGCTCATGCATGCAGGGCAAAGCTCCTGATCATGGGTGACTTTAACCACAAGGAGATCGATTGGGATAGCTTGGACCCACATGGGGGCCAAGATACATGGAGGGCTAAGATGATGGAGGTGGTACTGGAAAACTTCATGTGCCAACACGTAAGGGACACTACAAGAGAGAGAGGAGATGATGAACCAGCAAAGTGGACTTAGTATTCACCTTGAGTGGTGCAGATATCGAGGACATCACATATGAAGACCCTTGGGGCCAGTGACCATGTGGTTTTAAGCTTCGAATACACAGTAGAGCTACAGTGGAGGGAGAAGCAGGAAGGCCAGGACGAATGAAGTCAAACTACAAGAAAGGGGACTACACAGGAATGAGGAACTTCCTGAACGGGGTTCAGTGGGACAGAGAACTGGCAGGGAAGCCAGTTAATGAGATGATGGAATATGTAGCAACAAAATGCAAGGAGGCTGAGGAGAGGTTTGTACCCAAGGGTAACAGGAATAATGAAAAAGCCAGGATGAGCCCATGGTTTACCCAAAGGTGCAGGGAGGCAAAAACAAAGTGTGCTAGGGAATGGAAGAAATATAGAAGGCAAAGGAGCCAGGAGAATAAGGAGAGCAGTCGTAGAGCCAGAAACGAATATGCACAGATAAGAAGGGAGGCCCAAAGACAATATGAAAACGACATAGCAGCGAAAGGCAAATCTGACCCGAAACTGTTGTACAGCCACATCAGGAGGAAAACAACCGTCAAGGACCAGGTAATCAGGCTAAGGAAGGAAGGAGGAGAGACAACAAGTAATGACCGTGAAGTATGTGAGGAACTCAACAAGAGATTCAAAGAAGTGTTCACAGAGGAGACAGAAGGAGCTCCAGAAAGACGGAGAGGTGGGGCACACCACCATGTGCTGGACACAGTGCACACAACCGAGGAAGAGTGAAGGGCTTCTGAGTGAGCTAGATACCTCAAAGGCAATGGGGCAGATAACATCTCCCCATGGGTATTGAGAGAGGGAGCAGAGGCGCTATGTGTACCCTACAACAATATTCAATACATCTATCGAAACGGGAGATTGCCTGAGGCATGGAAGACAGCAAATGTAGTCCCAATCTTTAAAAAAGGAGACAGACATGAAGCATTAAACTACAGGACCAGTGTCACTGACATGTATTAGTGTGCAAAATCATGGAGAAGATTATCAGGAGAAGAGTGGTGGAACACCTAGAAAGGAACGATTCATCAACAGCAGCCAACATGGTTTCAGGGACGGGAAATCCTGTGTCACAAACCTATGGAGTTCTATGACATGGTGACAGCAGTAAGACAAGAGAGAGAGGGGTGGGTGGATTGCATTTTTTGGACTGCAAGAAGGCGTTTGACACAGTTCACACAAGAGATTGTGCAAAAATGGAGGACCAAGCAGGGATAACAGGGAAGGCACTACAATGGATCAGGGAATACTTGTCAGGAAGACAGCAGCGAGTCATGGTACGTGGCGAGGTGTCAGTGTGGGCACCTGTGACCAGCGGGGTCCCACAGGGGTCAGTCTAGGACCAGTGTGTTTCTGGTATTTGTGAACGACATGACGGAAGGAATAGACTCTGAGGTGTCTCTGTTTGCAGATGACGTGAAGTTGATGAGAAGAATTCACTCGATCGAAGACCAGGCAGAACTACAAGGGATCTGGACAGGCTGCAGACCTGGTCCAGCAATTGGTCCTGGAGTTCAATCCCACCAAGTGCAAAGTCATGAAGATGCGGGAAGGCAAAAGAAGACGGCAGAGGAGTACAGTCTTAGGGGGCTGAGATACAAACCTCACTCAAGGAAAGATTTGGGGTGGTATAACACCAGACACATCTCTGAAGCGGCACATCAACCAATACTTGCTGCAGCATTAATGGGCACCTAGCAACTCAGAAGCTTCCGACATCTTAATAAGGAATCATTCAGGACCTGTTACACCCGTGTCGTTAGGCCCATATTGGAGTATTGCGGGCACCAGTTTGGAACCCACACCTAGCAAGCAGTAAAGAAACTAGTGGAAAGTGCAAAGGTTCGCATCAAGTCTAGTCCCAGAGCTAACAGGTATGTCCTACGAGGAGTGGTAAGGGAATTCAACCTGACGACCTGGAGGACAGGAGGAGAGGTGGGGGACGGGACATGATAACGAATACATAATATGAGAGGAATTGATTAAGGTGGACAAAAGACAGGATGGTTCCCGAGTATTGGACCAGTAACAAGGGGGGAACAGTTGGGAAGCTGAGACACAGATGCATCACAGGGTTGTTAGGAAGTATTTTCTTCAGCCACAGAGTAGTCAGTAAGTGGAATAGTTTGGGAGCGAGGTAGGGAGGAGGATCATAAATAGCTTTAAGCAGAAGGTATGATAAGTCACGAGCTTCCAGGGAGAGTGACTAGTAGCGATCAGATGAAGAGGCGGGGCCAGGAGCTCGGACTCGACCCCCGCAACCTCACTAGGTGTGTACAATAGGTGAGTACAACACAGCACACACCACACAACACCACAACACACAAACACAACACTCACCACA